TGGTATAATAAGTTAGGCTACACTAAAACTAGCCTCGATGTGAAAAACAGTAAGACCGAATGGTAAACCTCGGCAACACATAGTTAACTATCAACTGCGATAAAACTCCAAACGAAAATTAATTTACTGGCCGTTAATCACGGGACAAATTCTTTGGATTGAAAATGACACTGTTGTTGCTTCAGGACGCAGTAGAAGTTTATAAATACAAATCACGTTAGGTCTAAACCTCCCGTTCGTAAAACACGCGCAGTCGGATTCGTTTGACAGTTTCCTGCCAACGTAAATAGGTAGTCTCTAGAATCCCATTTCGCTGTGTCTACTAATATCAAGTTATTTTTTAAACCGAACACAATCTTCAACGGAGCGGATACAACGGCGTCCGTCCAAGAGAAAATTACTCAACAACAACTACAATATTTGGACTAAATAAAGAAGATAATACACCTGAAATAACTTTAAACGGCTAGTTCTGGGTCAACATACTACATAATTATACGGAAACCAAAATTTTATGCAAGCTAACCCATTCTCGACTACCCTTGAGCACTTCAAATATGAGATGCCTCCCTTGAATAGTGTCACTCAAGGTCGTGGGTGAATGATTTGACCCGAACCACCCATCCCTGATAAACACTTTCCATCTTCGATTGTGAAGCATCGGTAACGTATTTGATAGGAAGGGACTTATTAGGAAAGACGTTCTATGCATTTTTTGTAAGGAATTAATACCACGCTATTTAAAAAGGACAGTGGTATTTTTCCTCGCTGAGTAAATTTCATTGTTTTGATCGTTTATTACGTATCAAGACTACTGTTTTTCACTTTAATTGAATTTATTTCAGTTAAAGTATTCGACTAAAGTATCGTTTTTACTGTTTTGTCGTTGGTACTCTTTAGTACCACTTTTTCAACTGTATCTGTTAGTACTTTTGGTCCTAGCAATCTACAGCTCTTCACTTTTTTTGGTCATTGATAATTTTTTTGTTTCTGGGTATCATCGCATATTGAAAAAACCCCTCCTAAATGACCGGACAGTGTAAAAAAAGCAGTTGCCAACGTCCGGGTTGTCGTTATCCTGTTGAAAGCGGCATGCAGTGCGACGAGTGCAAAGGCTGGTACCACGAAGTTTGCACGAACTTAACGCCTGCTGCTTTCAAACGGTTCAGTAAGAAGGGTTGTGTGTGGCTTTGTCAACAGTGCTGCTCGGATGCAAACAGCTTGTTAACCGAGGCTATCTCACTGGTTGATGCTGCCAAGAAGTGTTTCAACAAGCATAGTCGGAACGCGTCAAACAGCACTCGATCTGTTGAAACGCAAATCAATGTGAAGGAAACTAAGGTGAGTCCAGTGATAGATGACTCACGCCCGTCGAAGAAGGAAAAGCAGTCTCCAAAGGGGTCTGGCTTAAAAAAAAGCTCAAGAAAAGTAGGGTCTTCTGTTCCCCGTCTCCCAGATGGGATCCAACAGGAAACACCTAGGAGCCGCAATCGCAAGGCTCGATCGGTTTCAAATGGTAAACATAACACGACCCCTCAGGTCGTCGACAACCCCCCAAAACCCAACACTAGTTTTGACGCAACTGCTATTGCTTCTACCAGCAGCGTTAACGAATGGGTAAAGGTTGTAAGGAAGAAAAGTATTGATATAAAAGGGAAACCTGCCCCCGTAAAAGTGGTTGAAAAATCGAAAGCTGATCATAGCGACAGATCAGCTATTTTTCATAGAATTAAGGAGAGCGATAGCTCTGAACCTAAAGCTCGTTTTGAGCATGACATTGTACTGATTAGGCAGCTGCTTAATCAACTCATGCCTCAAAATATGACTGGGGTCACCTTGCTAAAGGTGTATAGACTAGGGAGTCTAACGGACTCGAAACCAAATCATTCCAGACTGCTTAAAGTAGTATTCGGCTCTTCAAACGAACGTGACCTAATTTTACAAAATGGACACAAATTAAAGGGTTCGGGAGTCTTTATCCGAAAGGACCTACCGTTGGCAGACCGTGTTAAAAGACGGGAAGCCGAGAAAGAACTACAACATAGGTTAGACGCTGGCGAAAAGGACCTGAAAATTGTAAATTTTCGGGTTGTAAGACTTCGACAGAGAATGATGCCGAAGCCACTCTGGGTGAAGCACGAAGGCACCTAAACAGGCTTCGGATCTGTTACACCAATGCACGAAGCTTACTTAATAAGCGACCGGAACTAGGTGTACAGATTGACTCTACAAAGCCAGATATAATCGCAGTAACAGAAACCTGGCTGACACAGGCTATAGATAGTATAGAACTTGATTTCGAGGGCTTTACGTTAGTAAGGGCCGACAGAACACAAAAGCGCAAAGGAGGGGGAGTAGCCCTATTCATTAGGAATGCTATCCCATTTACCATTATCGATAGTGTATCCCATGAGAGTGGGACGTGTGAATTAGTTAGTCTTCGCTTAAAATGCAAGGGACAAGAGCTGCTGATTGGTTTGGTCTATCGCAGTCCAAGCTGTGAGGCAAATGAGATCCTGTTAAGCAGTCTCAATACTTGGTCCCAAAGTGGTCGATGTCTAATCCTAGGGGACTTTAATGCACCAATGGTAGACTGGGAAAATCTGCGAACTGAATCGTCAGAAAATTCCTTCGAGCAGGAACTAGTTGATGCGGTTATCACATGTGCCCTAGTGCAACATGTGAAAGAAGCGACTAGGTACGACCCGGACACTGAATCATCCTTATTAGATCTTATACTGACTCACTATGAGGATGATGTTGCGAACCTCCACCATATGCCACCCTTAGGTAAAAGTGACCACGCAGTCTTAACTTTCGACTTCCATATAACTGCCAGTCATGAGGACGCGTCAGTCCAATCCAGACCCAACGTCTGGAAAGCAAACATACCAGACATCATGCACTCAGCATCGTTAATAGATTGGACAATAGACCCAGAGTCCTCCATTGAAACGGCCTGGGACACATTTCGAAAATCATACTTAAAAGTTACCACACCTCACATCCCTTGGACTATACCAAAGGGGCCGAAAAACTCACCACCATGGTTCAGTAGGGAGGTCCGTATCCTTCTCCGTAAGAAAAGGAAAACGTGGGATAGATTTAGGTTACTGAGGACTGATGAGTCAAAATCTTAGTATCGAAAGGCTCGGAACACTTGTGCCTCGACCCTCCGTAAGTCTAGAAAATTGTACGAAGAAAAACTTGTTAAGGAATCCATAGAATGTCCTAAACGCTTGTATTCCTATATAAACCAAAGGACAAGGAGAAAAGGAAATATTCCTGCTCTATGGGGAGACAGTACTGCTTCATCATTAGTGGAGGACGACTTTGGTAAGGCTCAAGCGTTCTCGAACTACTTTAGCAACGTGTATACCATAGAAGCGCCCTTCTCGTCAGCGTATACAGATCCCCCCATACATACACTGGATAGCGTGACCATTAAAGAACTCGATGTCTTTGATCTGCTAAATAAGCTTGACACAGGTAAATCCACGGGGCCCGATGAATTACATCCTAGGCTACTGAAGGAATTATCTAACCTCGTTGCGAACCCTTTAAGTACATGCTTTAACCTATCCGTTACGCAGGGTCGCTTACCGAAAGATTGGAAAAACGCCATAGTAAGTCCTGTCTTCAAAACAGGCACGAAACACAAACCTGAGAACTACCGCCCCGTTAGCCTAACTAGTGTGGTTGTTAAAATATTAGAAAATATTATTCGGAAGGAGCTGTTTAAGTATCTCGATAAAAACCGGATCCTCTCGGAGAAGCAGCATGGCTTCAGAATAGGTTATTCTTGTCTCACTAACTTATTAGTGGCTCGTGAAAGCTGGTGTGCTCTTAAGGACCAAAAGCTACCTGTAGACGTCACCTTCATTGATTTCAGTAAAGCCTTTGATAAAGTTCCGCACAACCGGCTGTTATATAAGTTAAGACATGTCGGGATTGGAGGTAATTTATTGATGTAGATAAAAGACTTCTTAGTTGGGCGTCAACAAAGAGTAAGGGTGAACTCAAAGTTATCTAGCTGGGAAACTGTGCTTAGTGGAGTGCCCCAGGGTACAGTTTTGGGGCCAGTGCTATTCCTCTTGTATGTAAATGACCTTCCTTGTCTCCTATCATCATCGGTCTTGCTATATGCTGACGATGTCAAGATATGGAGAACGATACGATGTAAGAGTGATAGCTTAGAACTTCAAAATGACCTGAAGAAGTTATCTGAATGGTCTCAAACATGGCAGTTGCCGATAAATACTTCCAAGTGTGTTGTGATGCATATCGGTCATCAAGGCACAGATACATACACGATGAATAACACTGAGCTACCTGTCGTCCAGACATATAATGACTTAGGAGTTATCGTTAGTCAAGACTTAAAGACTACTGCACACTGCCGTGCAATAGCCGCCAAAAGTTTTAGAACGTTATGGTCAATACGTAGGGCTTTTAGTCATGTCGACACTAAGACGTTTTTGACTTTGTATACAGTGTTTGTTCGTCCTAAACTTGAGTACTGCATACAAGCGGCTAGCCCCTGCTTTAAAAAAGACAGAGAGCTCCTGGAAAAGGTTCAGAGAATGGCGACTAAGCTGGTTCCCGCAATAGCGAAGCTTCCGTATGAATCTCGACTGGCCAAGCTGAACCTTTTCCCGTTGTCATATCGCAGAACTAGAGGCGACTTGATTACAGTCTACAAATTGCTTAGTGATAAATTTGCACCTAACATGCCCTCATTTTTCTTGTCTTCCAAAACAGAGAATTTACGAAGACACTCCAAAAAAGTTTACAAGCCGAGAACAAATTACTTGTCAGCTGACTATCGACTTTCCCATCGAATCATCAACGAGTGGAATTCACTACCTCAGCACGTGGTTGAGGCTCCATCCGTCGACTCTTTCAAAAGAAAGTTGGATCAACTGAGAGACCACCATTGCCAGGACTAACATAGGCCATCGAGCCTCCTGTCCTTCCCAAACTGAAACTGAAACATTGTAATGGTATAATATATTATGTCAAGGTTAACGAGATTAAATTAATTTAGACACAATTGTGTCTATACCAACTCTAGTGTTTATTACTAAGGATAAGTCAATCGACCTGCGTTAATCCTTCCGATTTTTAGCACTGTGAAGACCCAATCTTGTCTATAATGTACCAGCCGGAGGTGCTGATATTACATTTCCTGGTTGATAATTCCAGTAATTCACTACTTTGAGCAAGAAACGAAACTCCAGATGCTAACCATCTGAAGCAATTGTAAGAAAAACCGTATCTCAATAACCAGAGGATCCGTCGACAAGCCGCCATCTTAATTAGTTGTTAGTATTTCACTATCATAGATAGAAAACACTATTAAAATATTCTGATAAAGCTTCAGCGTTTCTTTCTAATCTAAGCGGATTTTTCACCAAAATTGGTGGAATTTCATCACTTCTCTAAGTTTGCATCTCTATGCTAGAGAAACATTGGCTAACTGTTTTCACAGTTCTTAACAAATTGTGTATCATATGAATGTCGAGCCTTATCAACGCCTTGCAACCGTTCCTAGTCTTACAATAAGTGAATATGTACTGTTCAGAGTCTGTATAGATAAGCATACGTCAACGCCTTTTCCTACGTCTAAGCAGTTTCTTGACCTGTTTAGTTATGCATGGTGGTGAGTTAAAAGGTCCACGTGTTACTAACATACAAACGGGGATGTAAGTAAACCAAGTGTACCCCTAAGTATAAACCATATCTCTCTAATTGATGAGCTGATATTTACTGATTAGTCCATTTTCCCAGCACTTTTCTGTTTGGCTGTTGTGTTTGCTCTCCACACATTTGAGGGGGGGGCAGCCTGACCGTGTATTATGTCGTAAGCCCTAAACATGAGTGACAAAACACCATGATCGGTGGGAGGATATTTAGACAGGCAATATCCTTGATTATATGAGTGACTACTAAGTTCGAGTTTTGTTTGAACCAAAATGTGTGGGTCCGAATACGTGTTGTATAAAGCATGCTCCACTACAGTCATCAGGAGCCTACTATCAAAAGTCTACAGTAACTACGGTGGTCATCTCTATCCAGTTGATATCAGGTTCATTAAAACCTAATGTCAGTTATCTGTTATTTTTACTTCATAGCTGAATGTGTTGTAAAATTCATCAGAAGAGCGGATTGGTCTAAGATAGATGACATAGAGCATAGATCTACAACCTTCAAAAGGGAGTTCATAGCTAGTTACTTCACAAACACATCTTCGTGAGATCTGCAAACAAATAAACGGATATTTATATTGTTATTAATGTACATAAGGTCCCAGTCCAATTTCTTGCTTCTATTCCTATCAATTCGTAAGTGTTTATGTCTCGATAATTCTGAAGTAACACCATAGTCATAGACTAACCAAGTTTAGGTCTCAGCTACGATGAGTAACTTTAATGCGCTCACTAGTACTCCCAGTTCATGGAATTTACTTCAAAAACTACGAGCATTCGCTATCAAGACCTGACTACTTGGAAATTCAATAAGCGTGGATTTTCCTCACTTTATCATCAAGTTTCTAGTTCAGCCAGCTCAACCTTCTTATTCTGTATCTTACAGAAATGTTAGATCCTTCTCGAATTTCGGTGTTATCTTGACTTCGAGCACTATTTACCACGGGGTTTTGCCGTTCCTTCATCCTTAAGTTTATTATAGAGAATCTATGCATTTAGAGTTCAGAATTTCCGGTACTCTTATTTCTTCTTACCAATTATTTTATCTTAAGTTCTGTAGAGTTATCTGCTCAGATGCTACGAATATATACTTCGACCTTTTCCAAATCATGGGCGTATTTAATTTCTGGATCAGAATCGTTTGATTCTGGCAAATTATTCACAATAATATTCGATGAGATCAAACCTTTTCAAGTCACGCTTGGGTTAATCCTGGTTTCACTTTGGAAATTTGGCGTAGTATTCTGTGAGTCAGAATGGAAGTATGCCGAAGATTTATCAGTCAGACGGACGCTGTTTTTGTCTATCTCCTTCTGGTTTTTGTTTCCGCACTGTCTTCCATCTCCCATCACTCGGAACGGCCATATCGTGACTACTTGGAATGGTTATGGTTTTATCCGAGTCTTCATTTACCACTTCAGAATCGAGACCGCCAATACCCAGTGGTACTTCATTCCTTGTTTGTTTCAAGGGAGAACATTTAAAAGAAGTTTGCAACTAGATGAATGAGACATTTCTATAGATGGATGTGTTTCGATTTCAAACTCTGTCAGGACAACACGGAACTGCATTTCTACACTCCTAATTGTAAATTGGTCCACATGCTACACATAAAACTCAACTTATTGTTCATTACAGTTGTCATCACTCGAAAAAAGACACGTTTTTAATCCCTATGAGCAAAACTTGTACTGACAACTTCGAATTTAAAGCAATTAGTCCCTTTTATAAATTTCAATATAACAATGAGAAGACGGAGTTTGATGTAAAATACCCTGACAAGTATATGTGTGGCCAGATTGTTCAAAATGTATAGCGAAAATACATCACATTTTTCAGATCAACTCCGTCTTCTCATTGTTCTATCGAAACTTTGAATTCCATTCATATCCAGTTTGTCAGTAAGAACCATCACCCAACTTTTGCTTTCGTCATTGATGAGAGTTGTTAGCCAACGTATATTTGAAAGATTCGGGTGGAAGTTTCAATTTCCGTTGAGTTTATACGTCAAGTGTATGTAGTAGTTCGATGACGTGCAGTTCATTCGTAATCACACTATTCAGTTTGTGGTTACACTAATTTAACTCTGTATAGAAGCGTCTCTGCCGCATAAATGTTGAAGTAGTCACAGTCGTCTTCCATCAGCAACATTGTAAGATTTCCCCAATGCACTACTGGAATATGACACTCCCTCTTTATCTTCTGGTTTATTTACGAAGACGCATTCCAAATATTTATTCTAGTCCTTAATAAGCTCTGCTTCACACTTGTACAAATATAGGGATGATGCCTATTAGCATGGAGGGTTTCAGTCGTTAACCATTCAGTGGTATTCTAACTGTTGATTTGATTTCTTGTGATGGCCTGAGTTTATTAGTCCAAGAGATCAGAAAACGCTACCTTACTGCACCCAGGTCAATATTCAGAATATAGATCACATCTGAGTCTTCAAATAAAGAAACGTACCTGTTGTAACCGCTACTCAACATAGGATTCAAAATCAATGTCAACAAGTTAGCACCTGGTATTTTAAAACATTGGAAGAAGTCGGCATCTCTAATGCATTATATATATTTGTGAATAGGATAAAATTATACTTTATGAGGATTGATAAATCTACTCAAACTTGAATCAGTAAGGCAGGTTGCATATTTACCACATATTTTTTGAAGGCCGAGTGTTTTAGCTGGTGAACCATTGTTCCTAATTCCCAGTGCACTCTTTCAATCTTGTTTTAAAAATCTCTAAAATTCTTATTGAATGTGGTTGGATATTATATAACTAGACAATTATCGGACAATTTCGACTGTCATAATACTTTATAATTGTCACATATCACTGGGGATTCTCATTAGGTCTATACAGCTCTGTACTGCTTCTGCTCAAATTCAACTCTCAGGATTTTCTAATACCCAAAGGTCGGATGAGCGCCGGAAATCCTACGAAATACTATTCTCGTACTAAAAATTTCTATCTTATCATCTATTCCAGATATTTTGTGTTCTACGCATCCTTAATTCCGGTAATATTCCATGAAGAAAAATTTCGGGTGTGAAACTTGTTGATATAGTCCTCACGGAAAACTTCTACGTGAATTGATAGACGTATTAAAAGATATAATTTTTTAGTGTACTGATCGATAATCTCTGTTAAATTCCGATTTCTTATTCCCAGATTTAGATAACTGTGCTTTTCACTGGAGATACTTGATTAAAATAAGCTTCTTGATATATTCACCGATCAATCATATTAACAGTTACATCAGGCTTCTGTTTGTCATGAAAATATCCGTCTATCTTTGTCTAATTAACCAGCTAAGTGGCATGTTAAGTACCTTGTACTAAACGTAAAATTTAACACTCTGAAATTGATGGATACGATTGTTGAAGTTTGTTCATAATTATCATCTGTAAATATTGATAAAATACTAATGAAATATAACTGCAGTGAGAAATTCACGCGCTGTCTGCCTTCAGTAAACTCTTATGGTCAAAATCAAAATATCCTGTGTTTCAGTACAGCGAGTTTTCCCTTTTACAAAACTCATAGTAGGTATGACTCAGTCGAGCAAGTAAGAATCCAGTCGGTTTTTGAGTTGCCTTAACTTTCCAATTAATTTTATACCTAGCGCGTATTCATCATACTACTACTAAACGTTTGTTAATCCTTTTGTCATTTACTATTTAATGTACTAATTGATTTTTTTTTCTACAGACACATTTAAAAGGACAATCTGGATTAATTTGTGCCTCATTTGAATGGGGGAGCTGGTGGCAAACAATTCAAGAAGTTTTTATCGAAATCCCATTCCGACAAATCGTAAACGTGAAGCAAATCGTATGTAAAATTACCAATAGTACAATCACTTGTGGTTTTGTTGGTCAGCAGCCATTGTTATCAGGTAACTTATTTAGCCTTATAAAGGCAAGTGAATCCACCTGGAGCCTTCATGAAAAAAAGCACGTAAGTTTCTGTAACACCAAACGAGATTTCAAACTCAACAAAGTAAACCCTAACTTATTAACCGTAATTATTTAGTACCGTTATTATTCTTAATCACTCTATTTGAACTATACACTGCAATACATAATCTTACGGTGTGGGGAAAATCGCCCGAAATACCCTCATAACACATGTTATCGTAAAAGTCGAACATGTCTTGGAACAAGAGGTTGCGTAATATGGATTTATATTTAAGGAAAATGAAAAAGATTTCGGACCTACAAACTAACAGAAATCTATAAGGTTGACTCGTCCCACATCGTAAGTTAAATAGAATTTATTGATTTTGCATGAAGATCTCTTTTCGGCAATTTCATTCTTAGAGCTGTAAATTCTCAAATCTATATTTTTCTACAACAATAATTGGTTACATGCTACTCAATTATAACAGTAATTTCTTGAGGGCATTCACATATTAAACAAAAGCACAGAGATGTTATCTTTACTAAGAGATTGAGAATGTAGTTGTTAAGAGCTTGAATAGGCATTAAAAATGGTGTAGAAATTAGACGAAGCCTCTTAATTACGTAAATCGGTTATGAAACGTGGTTAATTAGTTCATGAGGATATTTGTTTTCTCCTTGTTGATATATGCATTAATATTCACCAATTTTCGTTAACACTGAAACTGGAATATTGTATGCCGAGTTATTTTGCAAAGTTTCCCTAAAGACATAGAAATATGGTAGTTCGAGTGTGCTAGTGAGCTGAAAGCTGCAGCTGTATTTACCAACTATTGAAAGCTGTTTTACCTTATCCTAGCCACCCACAGCGGGCAGTCAGGTTTCAGCGAAGCAAATTGTGTAGCTAATGATACACAATTTAGTAACATTTAAAAGCGTCTTAAAAGATGGATTGAGTTTTTTGTCGAACAGTTCAGCATTTATGCTGTCCCATCAGTGTCGATCGAATTGTTTTGTCCTCCCTGACCGTCGATGACTGAGGCACTTAACGAGGGACTCCGAATTACGAACTATCGTAAGCCATCAGGTTCAGATGGTCTTCCAGGATCTTTTAAAAATGGTAGTTAAGTTCTGGTCAGAGAACTGATTGCGTTGTTTGGAAGAATTCAAGAAACAGAATGTCCTGACACTAAAATGAAACGAGCATCGTCTCCATCTTTGAAAAGAGGCTAGATAATCTGTGCGACAACTATCGGGGTATTAGTCTTCTTTCATCGGCGTCCAAACTATTGGTTTCTGTCATACTTCACAAATAATACAAAACCCACAAACGGCTAACTCGTCAGGAGCTGGCTTGTTTTTGTTCTTGTCTTGGATGAACTAATCATAAAATAGCACTCCCCCAAATATTAGAGCAGCGCAATATTTATTTCAAACGAACAATCATTGTGTTGCTTAATGCTAGGGGCGCCTTCAATTCGTTGAACGAGACTGTGTTCTGTGATTGTCCGTTGAAGTAGGCTGTGCCCGAGTTTATGCGTGTCTTAAATTCTTTGTATACAAATGCCTCAGACAGCGAGGTGATATAGTCATCTCTCTTCATTGTTCCATTCAACCAGTGGGGTTAGGCAGGGTTTCACAGTTTCACTACTCTTCAACTTCGCCATCGATTGCAGTACCGGTGGAAGTAAGTAGTGATGATACTGATCTGTCTCCTGGAGAAAGACTTTATCCTGAATATACGGATTATACTACATTGCTGTGGGACTATAATGAAGCTATGCCGACCGCAGTTACTCATTTGACAATGGTAGCGTACAGTAAAATGTAGAACGGCTTATATAAGTCTAAGCCATTTTAGTACCGTCATGATGTTATTCTGGGTGTTAGAGGACAAGTTTACAATATGTTAGTGAGGGTACTTTTGGTTTATGTTTGTAAAACCTGGCATCTCAGTGTTAGAGATGTTAGACGACTCTCTGTTTTCAATCCTCATTGTATCCGAAGGACTGCTAACATTGAGTGGGAACATCATGTTAGTAAATTTGAGGTTCGGCAATGTGTCCAGGTACAGTGACAATGATTCGATTGGTATTACCACTTCGAAACACCGGTCTCAGTGTTTTTGTATATGTGCTACGAACTTGATCCCAGTGGCTTCCACACTGGTTTATTTAATAACAACAAAAATGGATGGCGAGGTAGTGATTTTGATTTTATGTTTGGCGCCTTGGTATAAAATTCGTTATGTTTAGCATCTGCCTGTTTATCATGACTTTGGTTGGTGTCCTAGAAATGATGCGAATTAGTGGCTTGAAGCATCCTTCTTGAGTGTCTTGTTATCTAAAATATATCTTTTAGTCTACATTAATCTCGATCACTCATCTTTTTTTATTGTACTTCCCTTCCCTTTATTTCTTCACAATACTATTTCCTTATTTGTATGGGACATACCTTTTTTGTTGCCTATTTGTACCAGAATTAACGCATATTAGATAAAGTAGGATTCTTCGTATAAAACCGACAACTTGTAGAGAAATGTTGGATTACTGGTTGTGATCTCATTTTTCACCGCTTTATTTGAAGTATGATAAAGTAAATTAGTGTGTTTTTCTAGTACTGTTGTATATTATTCACTATAGAACTGCATCAAGTTTTCAGTACTTTTTTATATCATTGGAAGATTTATCAACTGAAAACAAAAGCCTATTAGAATATCATGTATAAATTTTGATAAACAATGCAGACTTTAGTACTGAATGACCGTATTTGTATTTTACTTCCTTCTGTTCAAACTTTTCTGGTTTCATTATCAATCGAACAGATGATAGAGATACGTAGAAGTAAACCTTGTTGAAGTTGACACATGATAGTTTTCACTTTGAAATACACTATTTGTTAAAAGTTTTAAGTCTTATTCTTGTTGTGTTGGTATATGAAGTACATTTATTTTTTTGAGAGAAATATTTCACAACGGTTCATTGTAGTAGAATAAACTTATTTTAAACGCCCATTTTATCATTGTTTATTCCATCTTGTAGATGGTTATGTGTCTGATCAAAGCTAGTCCAGGTACCTGTTGGCATTCTTTAATGACCGATAACTGGAAGGCGGATCCACTAGTTTTTGACGAAATGGAACGAAACCTTACCATTCAGCGACTACAAATAGAAAACCCTGGTATGGACTTTAGCTCAGCCGACATATCTGGAAACTATCGTAACGGTGGACCAAAATTTCCTGCATGATTTCAACTCAACCTACTGTCATCTTTTAAATAAAGATAATTTCTGTCAATATCTCTACTTTTATTCAATGTATATGTGCACTAATTCATAGTAATTAACGTACATTGTCTTATATTTCAGAATGTGGATAAAACCTTGCTTAACCGGACTTTTGTTCGAAGTTCTGTGTCGGGAACACTGAGGTGTCCTGAAACTAGAACCGATGCGTCTCCAAAAGTTAAAGACCTTAATCTCTCTGGCCAAGAAGTAAGAAATTTCTATGAATCACTTACACAGTGCGTAACTCAAAAGTTGGAATACTCGTCACCTGATTCAAATTTATATAAATGTTCCGTATGTGGTGGCTCTTTTAGTGATTTTAAGAAACACGTTTCATCTATTGGTCATCAAATGGCTGAGATGTCAGAAAAAAGTTCGAAACCATCGCCGCTGTTAATTCCTCCTTCAAATAAAGGTTATCAACTTTTAACTAGAATAGGTTGGCGTGATGCTGCCCTCGATCCAGGATATGAAGAACTGAAGACTTCGAAAGTACTGTCTGGTATTTCAACTAACGAGTATAAATCACATTTCTGCATTAAAAACGGCGGTTTGGGTGCTTCCAGACCAGGTCGACGCTTTCCTGTAGCAACCGTTTTAAAACGCGATCGTCTCGGTTTTGGATGGCCAAATAAAACAAATACTGCAAGAATTACACATTTCGGCGCAGGTGATTCAAAAGCAGTTGAATATCCCAAAGACGTGAGACGACTTCGTCACTCATCCATTAAAATGGACTCGAAATATATAATAAGAAAAATGAATTTAGAAAAGAAGAAAGAACGTATTATAAGACAAGGGTTTAATTTGACTGATGAACAGTTAGCTTTGCTCTATGACAAATGAACTTTTGAATCATTTCATATTAAGTATAGTTATTTTCTTCAGTATATACTGTACATAATTATCGAATTTATTTAAATCTATGTTCCAATTTTTGTCAATTCTATGTTAAGTTGGCTACATTATTTGCTGTCATTTTGTTGAAATCTAAGTAAAGTGAGACAGTAATCCTACGTGCTGATGTTTGTGGAAATAAAATCACAGCATGCCTCAATTTCAAAAAATATCTTAGTTAATAAAGTAGTCATTTATTTAAAACTTATGGGAAACACATACACGCAACAAGATTCGGGATATGCGTTCACGCCTATTGATGTTCTATACCTTGTGATGTGTTACAAATAGTTACCCTAAGGTGCTTTTTCGAGTAAGACCAACAGTGTCTAAATGTGATGAACATAGGCCTTCATTTAGCCTACCCTATCACTTTATTCCGATTTTTGACTTTTTCAAGGTGTGTGAATGAATTTCATCCTTGTCGAGGGAGTTTTCCTGTGGCTGGTACTGATTTCGTACTATATATCCATGTCGTCGAACCTCGTAATTTAAAATTTCAAGGGTCTTGAAGTATATATTATGCAGTTCTCGCAGCTCAGTTTTTTAGAGTATTAAACTAGAAACTATTAAGACGAAGTTCGTTTGATCATATTTTGTCTAACATTTTTTGTTATAAATCAAACAGCTTGAGATGTTATTAGAAATAGTTCACAGTCTAATTAATCAAAGGCTGTGTTGAAGTTCCCCATGATCTCCATACTAGGCAGTTAAGCGTACTTTTAGGCCATTGGTCAATATTTTGACTTGCAATCGTAAAATTCATACAGAAATCATTTGAAAAATATTCTCATGTTCTTTAGTCAAAACATTCGTCTGAGAAACCAAACGGTGACGTGTGTGTTAGAAATTAAGCCGTTTATTGCTAGTGTCTTTTTTTGAGGTCCAAACATGACTCAGATATTATAGGCTAAATTCAAAACAATTATTGATAATTTCTGAATATACGGTTTAATCACCCATATAAATGCTGAATGAGTCATTCTCGCTTCGTAAAGTTAATTCCTAATCATTACCTCAAGTGGATTTCTAAAGTTGATAGAAATGATCCAACTGGCCGGTCCATCTACTGGCATAGTTAGCAATTTTTTCTCCTCTGTTAAAAGAGCATTCAAAGTTACCACATTTGATTTACCGAAAATGTGTCCTCTATGAGGTTCTACTTTTTGTTACATTACTATTAAGCAACCTCTTACATGTCCTGTAAAGTCATATGAGTGATAGTCGTACCATATTGTTCATTAACCGGAAATCATGTGTTAATGGGTTGAAAACACAATCACACTAACTTAAGAAAGTCGTGTCGTCATTAAACTGTCTTTTCTTGTTTTATTACAGATCACAATATTACTTAATTTACTTACGCCTGATACTCCTAATGGAGCATAGTCCGCCGACCAGCATTCTGCAACCCACTCTGTCCCGGGCCTTCTTTCCTAGTTCCATCCAATTCTTGTTCATTTTTCTCATGTCTATCTCCATTTCCTGGCGTAATGTGTTCTTTGGTCTTCCTCTTCTCCTTTGGCCTTGAGGATTCCATGTGACGGCTTGTCTTGTGACGCAGTTGGGTTCTTTCCTCAATGTGTGCCCTATCCACTTCCAGCCCTTCTTCCTCCACTGTCAGTCAGTCAGTAACAACGTAGAACTTCGTACGTACGTACATCAGTTCGAGTTGCCACACCATATTAGCACAGAGATGCAGTTGTCGATTCAAATCCCTTAATGGTAGAGGTAGTAAAAGTATAAGCAGTAATCGGAAAGATTAGGGTTTGAAGATATTATTTAAGGAGTATAATCCAGTGAAATAAATTTGGAAAGAGAAAAAAAGGGACACGAAGAATTCAGACAATTAGAATTTGGGAGAACATAAAGAGTCGATGTACCTGGGCCATTACAAACGATTTTCAGCCGTATCATCTAAGGTCTCTAACCATCAGTTGCTATCGTCTCACAGATCCCAACCAGGTAGTCTACACCTACTAACATGGCTCAGTCCACTTGTCAGTGACTTCATGGATTTGTGCCATGTTTTGGTCTCGCCGCCCCTGGCTTTCTTCCAATCTACTCCTATACAACAAAACATCGCACATCGAGGCAGTCGGTCGTTGGGCATACGTAACACATGTCCCAGCCATCTCAACTGATGAAGTTTCACTACGTCATCAATTGATTTGCCATCCTTACCTAGTACCCGTTTCCTAACAATTGTGTTACTTACTCGATGGTCCCATGATATACGAGCAATGTTTCGAAGACACCTATGATCGAATACTAGTAACCTACGAATATCCTCTACTCTTACCGGCCATGTTTCACTGCCATAAAGTAGGACGGAACGAACTGCTGCGCAGTAAACACGTCCTTTGGTTGGTAGACGTATATCTCGCCTACGCCATAAATGACGCAAGTTGGCAAAAGCTAGTCGAGCCTTCTGTATCCGTGCTGAGATTTCATCACACACCAAACCACAAGGGCTGATGAGACTTCCAAGATAAGTGAAACGGTCGACACACTCAACTACTTCACTCCCTATCACTAGTTCGGGTGTCGATGTAACCCAATTCTGAAGCAAAATTTTGCATTTTGAGGGGGAGAATCGCATCCCGAACATGCTTGTATTGTTGCTTAGAGTGGTCAGGAGACTCTGCATTTTGTCAGCGTCTTCACCAAATAGAACTATGTCATCGGCATATTCCAAGTCAAGAAGTGAACCTCCTGGTAGAAGTTCAACCCCTGGAAATTTAGATGAGGAAAGTGTTATCTCTAAAAGTACGTCGACCACAAAGTTGAACAAGAATGGGGAGAGTGGACAGCCCTGACGAACACCACTTGAGGTAATCAATTCTGATGACAGTTCACCATAGGCTCTTACTCTACCAGTTGTGTTCGAGTAGAGAGCCTTTATAAGGTTAATGTACTTCTTTGGTACTCCTTTCAGTGACAAACACTGCCATAGAACCTCACGATCAACAGAGTCGAATGCCACCTTAAGGTCGAGAAATACTACCATTGTGGGGCGTCTGAATGTGTGTCTGTGTTCTAGAACCTGACGTAGTGTGAATATCTGATCTATACAACCACGTCCAGGTCGAAAACCAGCCTGATTTTCTCTAGTCTGCTCTTCACGAGCTTTGGTTAGGCGTCGAAGTATTATTGAAGCTAATATTTTAGATACTATATTAGTCAAACTGATTCCTCTGTGATTGTCACAAGAGGACTTTTGTCCTTTCTTATAGACTGGCACAATCAGTGATTGAGACCAGTCAGATGGGATTACGTCCAGTTCCCAAATTCTACCTAAGACCTCGGTTAATCTCATTGCTAATACTGGACCACCATCCTTAAAAATCTCAGGAGTAAACCTGTCAGGGCCTGCTGCTCTCCCTCGCTTCAGATTTCCTATGGCTTTTTCAACTTCGTAAAGAGTCGGAGGACGTACACTAACTTGCCATTCAGGTTGACTGGCGATCGTGGGAAACCGAAGTGTGGCTGAAGGCCAGTTGAACTGATCCCTAAAGTTTTCTGCCCATCGATCCAATCTCCCGGATTGAGAATGTATAATATATCCATCTTTCTCTAAGATTGTTTCGCTAACGATTGGGTTCCTAATACCGGTTTCCTTAACGAGTCTGAACAATTGTCTGCTATTACCTATTGCCGCTGCCTTTTCCGTCTCTCTTGCTTTCGCTACCCACCACTGTTCACGATCATTGCGTAGACTTCTTGTCAGCTTGCGCTTAAGCTGACTCCGCTCTTCATTATGTTTAGAGCCAGGTGGAATGAGTTTCCGAGCATCTATCAGTGCAATAGATGCTGCTGAGATCCAGTGTTGCTCCCTAACCTTCTGGTTTACCTTACTAGCAGATATCATTGCTGTTTCCACAGCTTTTCAGATATCATTCCATGCTGCATCGGGGTGGGCATCACATACATGGCTGCCTAACTGTTTTCCTAGTTGTTCCTGAAATATACTCTCAGCTTGACTATCTTTAGTAGGCCCCTAAGAGGTTTCCTTGCAGCGTCTCTCCTACGTCCAGTAAGACGCAGACAGATACGCGCTCGTA